TTCAATTGAAATTGAGAAAGAAACAAGATTCATAGATGATGTTACTACTAGACCTGAGGAACAACTAGATCAAAGTATTACACATGAGACTGTGTCTGGCAGAGATGTAGTAACAGTTTCTTTAGTTGAAGGAGAGAAAGAAACAAGATTGGTAGATGATGTTACTACTATGCCTGAGGAACAACTAGATCAAAGTATTACACATGAGACTGTGTCTGGCAGAGATGTAGTAACAGTTTCTTTAGTTGAAGGAGAGAAAGAAACAAGATTGGTAGATGATGTTACTACTAGGCCTGAGGAACAGCAAGATGGAAATGTTCCACATGAGACTGTGTCTCACAAGGATGTAGTAACAGTTTCTTCAATTGAAAGAGAGAAAGAAACGGACTTGGTAGATGACGCTACTACTGAGCCTGAGAAACATATTTCACATGAGACTGTGTCTGGCAAGGATGTAGTAACAGTTTCTTCAGTTGAAAGAGAGAAAGAAACAAGATTGGTAGATGATGCTACTACAGAGCCTGAGAAACATGTTTCATATGAGACTGTATTTGACAAGGAGGTAGTAACAATTTCCTCAGTTGAAATTGAGAAAGAAGCAAGATTTATAGATGATGTTACTACTAGGCCTGAAGAAGAACTAGATCTACAGTAGTAACATCATCGACCAATCTTGTTTCTTTCTCTATTTCAACTAAAGAAACTGTTACTACATCCTTGCCAGACTCAGTCTCATGTGGAACATGTCCATCTAGCTGTTCCACAGGCCTAGTAGTAACATCATCTACCAATCTTGTTTCTTTCTCTCCTTCAACTAGAGAAACTGTTACTACATCCTTGCCAGACACAGTCTCATGTGTAATACTTTGAACTAGTTGTTCCTCAGGCATAGTAGTAACATCATCTACCAATCTTGTTTCTTTCTCTATTTCAACTGAGGAAACTGTTACTACATCCTTACCAGACACAGTCTCAGGTGTAATACAAGTCTGAGGAACAACTAGATCAACATATTTCACATGAGACTGTGTCTGGCAAGAATGTGGTAACAGTTTCTTCAACTGAAAGAGAGAAAGAAACAGACTTAGTAGAGGATGTTAGTAAAGAACCTAAGGAACAGCTAGATCAACATGTTCTACCTGGAGCTGACTCTAATAATATTACATTGTCTTCGTTAAGTATGGTTAAAACAGTTGAAGAAAGAATGTTACAAGTAGTCAGACAATTGAAAGAACCACATGGAGTCCTTAACATGGATATTTTAAAGGTATTTTCTGTCCTTGAAATATATTTATTATATAATTTAAAATATGCATATAGAATAAAAAATATATATATATAAAATTCTTATTCAGATTATTAGGTAGAAATGATAATTGAATACCTCAAACAATATTGGTTTGTTTGTACGGAAGCACAGTAAGATTTTAAGATTTTTTAAAAAATATTTTAATTTATTTTAGAGGATGGAACAGCCGAGATGGACCAATAGGTCCCATGTTGTCCCAAAATGTTATTTAAGTTGAAACCACTTTACTCTTTATCTTTAGGAGTTAAAGGAAGAAACAGAAGAACTAAAAGCTGTGCTACAATCTGAGATTAAAATTCTGACAGGCAGTTCAAAGAAAGAATTTCAGTTGACCAATGAGTTTGAAATGTTGCAACATCAACTTGATATTCTGACAACAGATATTTTGTGTAAAGAGAATGATCTGAAGGTATGTTGGATAAAATATGGAAGTCTGTTTCAGGAATACTCTCTTTACGCTATTGTATTCAAAATAGTGATATAACTTGTTTATTGATAAAGCAACATAAGCTTTACATATGAGGTATATTACAAACACTGGGCTCTTGAAAGTATAGCATGTTACAAACACTAGGCTCTTAAAAGTATAGTACTTTACAAACACTGGGCTCTTGCAAGTACAGTAAGATCCAAAGATACAAAGCTTTGTGAGTTGAATCCAATCTAAAGAGAGACAAAGCTCCTTATCTGGATCCAATGGGTGGGAGATTGATACCATATAGACAAAGCTTTATATTTAGAACTCGTGTGTTTGGGATTGGATCCAGAGAGTGGAAGCTCTGTGACTGAGATCCAGTGAATGAAACTTCTGTGGTTAGGAGTCATAGGCTGAAAACTTTCTGGCCATTATCCAGTGTGTTGAAATTCTATCATTTGCTTCTGGAAAGGTAAATCTTTGTATCTGAGATTTAGTGGTTTTGTTTGACTGGGATCAAGCGATAGTTCCATTACTATATTACTAGAACTTGGTGTATTAATGTTCTGTGGGTTTGATTCATTGGATTAAAGCTGTGTGCCTAGGATCATGTCTTAGTTCCATGAATAGGATTCAGTGGGTTGAAGCTCTGTGGCTAGGATCAAGTTACTGTTCCATGACTGTGATTCAGAGGGTTGAAAAGCTCTGTAAATGTTTCAGTGGGTTGAAGCTCTGTAGCTAGGATCAAGTTATAGTTCCATGACTGTGATTCAGAGAGTTTAAAAGCTCTGTAAATGTTTCAGTGGGTTGAAGCTCTGTAGCTAGGATCAAGCTACAGTTTCATGACTGTGATTCAGAGGGTTGAAAAGCTCTGTAAGTGTTTCAGTGGGTTGAAGCTCTGGAGCTAGGATCAACTTACAGTTCCATGACTGTGATTCAGAGAGTTTAAAAGCTCTGTAAATGTTTCAGTGGGTTGAAGCTCTGGAGCTAGGATCAACTTACAGTTCCATGACTGTGATTCAGAGAGTTTAAAAGCTCTGTAAGTTTTTCAGTGGGTTGAAGCTCTGTAGCTAGGATCAAGTTATTTTCAACCCACTGAAACACTTACAGAGCTTTTAAACTCTCTGAATCACAGTCATGGAACTGTAAGTTGATCCTAGCTACAGAGCTTCAACCCACTGAAACACTTACAGAGCTTTTAAACTCTCTGAATCACAGTCATGGAACTCTCTGGAGCTAGGATCAAGTTATAGTTCCATGACTGTGATTCAGAGGTTTGGAAAGCTCTGTAAGTGTTTCAGTGGGTTGATACTCTGTAGCTAGGATCAAGTTATAGTTCCATGATTGTGATTCAGAGGGTTGAAAAGCTCTGTAAATGTTTCAGTGGGTCGATGCTCTGTAGCTAAGATCAAGTTACAGTTGCATAATTAGGATTAATTAAATTGAAAAGCTATGTAACTGGTTTAGTAAGTTAAAGCTATATGGCTGAGATTCAGAAGATGACAGATGGGATTTATTGATCCAGAGTACATAGCTGTTTTTTCTTGCGACTACTAAGTCTTTGTGAAACCTGTAACTTTAATGTCTGTACAATGATGAGAATTCTGCTAACATGGAAAACAGTGATTGTTGTCTCAGTTTAAGATAATAAAGTGTTCAAAGTAATAAGTTACAAGATTTGATAGAGAAGTTTAAATCACTGACATTTTAAATTTGGAGTGAATAAAACTTTTTATCAGAAAAACAACAACATTGCACTAAAAATAAAAAAAGGAAATTAATTTTTAGGGAACAAGTTTTATATATTTGTATTTATCAACATCTAATACTTTTTATATATATATTTTAAGTTGGCTTCTTTTCAAAATTCTAGCTTTAATATGTTAAAATAATTTAATTCTTTTTAATACTGAATTAATTGTTTCCATACTAGCCACAAAAATTGAGTCCAATTTGATCCATAAAAATCCATATTCTATTTATTTTGTTTCAGCAGCTTCCAACAACTGCTGCATTAATGTTTATTAAATTAGTTTGTTTTTCAATTTTGATCAGGTGAAAGAAATTACAGAGAAGAAGTCAATCACCACAAAATGCCAAATGGAGGAAATAACTTACTTTCTAAAAAAAATCCAAACCTTTCTATCTGTTTATATAAGCCATCAATCATCAACGGGTTTTCTGCAGAAGCAACAAGAGAAATTAAAGGTATTTATGTCAGAAGATTTCACTATTCAGGAGGTCTTACTCCAAGAACAGGCAGAAAAACCTTTTCTTTTTTTGGTTGACAAACTATTTATGCTATTTCGAGTACCAATTGGTGTTCTTAAAACCTGTACTTTTGGAATAAGCAGTTTATACAAATATTAGAAACTTGTTATTTTTGTCGAGTTGTTCACATTATCTTACTACTGATCAGAATACACATGTGTTTCAAGGTTCTTATTTCCAATACAATATATAATCTCTACTTACATCTAGCTTGTGCTGCCCTCTGTATGCAAGAAGATTTACTCACCACTAGCCTTGAGGCTTACACTTAATCTCACATAATATTGCTGCATTGTTGCAGGGAAATGAGTGTGCAGCAACCCTCCACCAATAAGAGTGTGACACATCTCATAGTGATACCGGCTCTCTCTCTACTGATTGCTCAATCATCACTTCTTGATTTGTCTGCCATGTTAAGATATGTATTTTCTTGTTTGTATGAGATTTCTCAACATTAATGTTTGGCTGAAGTATCTACAAAACCAAATGTTGTGAAAATATTCTGGGTTTTTTTCAAACAATTTGGCCTCTTATTGTTCAACAATGTGAATTATACAGAGATGGTTATTTCCTTGCTGTCTAGGGTTGAACATCTGGATTTTGTTCACCCTAGTCAGACTACCACATCTAATGTGATGGCTACTGTGCAGTGGGTGGTAGAGCCTTGCATGCTGGCTGGGCCTTTTTCAGGCCTTGACACAGACATCTCTCCTTCTATAATTCCTACCTGTCAGGATGTAGATTTAAGGCAGTCTTTACCACCTAAATTTGCAAACAATTCTTTCATTGCAGATGTGGATTTACCTTAACATCTTGTGCCCTTCTATGACTTTTTTTCACTACTATTTCTTATTATTCTTTACTTTCCCTTCTTCAGTTGGCCCTTCTTCAGAATATTATGTTTTTTCTCCTTCCCCTGATTTTCTAGTTCATACTGAAAACTTTTTCTCTCTGGTGCAAGTATTCTTCATTCTCCTTGAGTGGTTGCACACATGTCTTAGCCTGGACTCGAGCTGAAGCCCTTTGTTTGGACTCTGAAACTCTGGATTTTTCTTGAGGCTGGCATGTGGTTCTGATACATCATTAGTCTTTCTCAATATCAGTTTTCTCACCTTCACCTTACACTCTCAACCCTCTCACATTATTTATCCTTCATCCATCTCCTTTTGGGGGCAATTCATTGTTCCCCTGAGGAGTTTTTGGCAGTCACTTGTTTCCTTACTCCTCATTTCATTACTCTATTATTGGGGAGGGATGTACTTTTGTCCAAGTATGTTTATCACCCTCTTAGGAATGTTCATCTGGCTCCTTTCCTCCATCAATGGGTTTTGGGTGGTGTACCTGATTCTTTGTAATCATGGGCTAAGGCTGTGTGCTAACATTTTTCATTAACTAACCTTGTGTCCCATTTTTCCCAAACTTCTTCCCTTCCAGTTGCTCTCTCCAATCTTCCTAACTCCTTTCTACTCCCTGTTCATCTTCTTCCACTATCAATAGGATGCAGCACCAACAATCTTGTTGGTGACTATATTCTGGGCTTAGGAACAGTGGGAGTGTGTTTGGCTCAATTTGTGGATCTATGGATTCCTTTTGCAGCAGTCAGTTGTCGGTGGCTGCAGGATCTATCTGTTGTCTTTACCCTTCATTTTTCTTCTCCTCCCCTTTGTCTCCTGTTTCCATTCTTTTCCCTCCTCCAGGGGATCCTGTCTTCCACTCTAAGGTGCTATGGAAAGTTTCTCACCCTTTTATGGGATTTTATTCCCATCTGTTTGTCATTCCCCAGTTCACCAGGGATTGGCATCCAGTAATTGTTCTGCCCTATCTCTGAGTTTATCAACTTTCTTCAGTTTATCATGGTGTGTTTTCTTACCCTCTGATGGTCTTTTTCTCTGGGGCTTGAATGACCAAAGTTGAAATCTCTGATGCATACCTTCACATTCCCATCTCCCCAGCATCCAGATTTTACCTTTGCTCTGTACATCACAGTCCAGTTTATCAGTTCCGAGCTCTTCCTTTTGGCTTAGTGTTAGCCCCATATGTTTTATTTGTCATGTAGTGTGTGCTTTTGATTATCACATTCATGGCTTGGGATCAGAATTCCACCATTAGATGGATGACTGGATTCTTTGAGCTCTATTTCCAGTATGACTTCTCCAACCATACTCTTCTCCTTCTTTGAGAGATAGCTTGTCTAGGTTGGCTAGTCAAGCTGAAAAAGTCTTATCTCATACCCACTTAGCATTTGGTCCACTTGAGTATGTTTTTCATTTCCCACTTCTGCAGAGCTTAGCCATCTCTGCTTCTTTGGTAGGCTATGGTGAGTTTGGTTTCCACAATTCTATCCTCTCCTTCTCTTCCTGTACAGAGGTTCTCTATCTCTTGGGCTTCCATGAAACCTATTATCTCCTTGGGTCATGCTCACATGCATCTTTTACTGTGGCTTCTACATGATGATTGGAACCTCTCTTGGGATCCCTTTTGCAGAGTTATCCCTCAGTGCTCCTGTTTTTTGATAGCTTTGCTCTTATTTGTCACTTATGACAGTGCCAAGTTTCCCCTAGTTGGGTCTCTGGTTCTGTATTCATGTGCACTGTTGGTGGAGTCAGGAATGGTCTAATCTCTTCCTTTGTGCTTATCCCTATTTGTCTCCTCCCGCAGTTCTTTCTCTTATTTGTGACACCTTGTTGGGTCCTCAATAGGGATTGGCCAGCCCAAACGTGCCCATCTGACTTCCTCCTCTCCTTTTTCACTCTTCTGCTATCTTCACTTTCAGTCTCATACTTTTCCATCTGGCTGTGTCATCACTCTAAATTCATGCATGAGATTTGTCTGGTCCCTTGCAGGACAGTCTAAACTCTTTTCATGTGTAGCCTTCTTTCAGTTGCTTTCTGTTTGACCGGTCCCCCAGTGGCACAGTGGTATGTCTGTGGACTTACAACTTTAGAATACGGGTTTCAATACCTATGGTGGGCAGACCACAGATAGCCCATTGTATAGTTTTGTGCATAATTACAAACAAACTGTTTGACCATCCTTTGTAGAAGTTTATCAGTGGAAGTGGTGTATTTATCACTGATGTTCTTGGTGATGGTCCTTATTATCTTCTTATCCTTCTGTTCTCCCATACATCTGTGCTTTAAACATGGTCCTTTCAACTAGGGCCAACCTATCTCAACTGTTGCTGGGTGGCTCTCTCAACTAATTTCCAGTTTTTCCATTACATTCGGTTTTTTTCATCCTCATCACTCCCAATTCTTCTAGCTTACCTGACTGGGTTCTAAATGTTCTTCACCATACCCTTACCCTAACTCCCTTTATACTTTTGGCTTCCTGCTCCTTATACAATCTGTCCATGAAAACTGATTTCTCCCTTCTTCTCACCTGTGGTTGCTGGCATTCTTCTCACATCCTGTTTATCACTCCTATATCCTTCTCTATCTGAATCACACTTTTCTTCCCAAAACTTGTAAAGGGTGTAGGGTGATAGTGTGTTTGCCCCTATGTCTCTACCTTCTATTCTCATCTTTATTCCTGATCATTTCCTTTGAATTTGCCCCTATGTCTCTACCTTCTATTCTCATCTTTATTCCTGATCACTTCCTCTGTGTTTGCCCCAGATAAGAATAGAAGGTAGAGACATAGTGACCAGTAATAATTCCTCTTTGTTTGCCCTATGTCTCTACCTTCTATTCTCATCTGTATTACTGATCACTTCCTCTTTGTTTGCCCTATGTCTCTACGTTCTATTCTTATCTGTATTCCTGATCTCTTCCTCTTTGTTTGCCCTATGTCTCTAAGTTCTATTCTTATCTGTATTC